TGGGTCTGAAGAGTAGAGTGGAGTTGTGTAAATTGTTGGCACAAAAGAGAAGAGCAATTTGTTTATCTAAATTTACTCAAGAATGTGATGTTTTATAGGGATGAGCAAGATTTTGAGTTACAAATCTAAACAAAAGGGCTCCTTTTAGATTTGACATATTGGGGTGTTATCCATCCTTCCCCCCATACCAAGTTCCCTCAAGGCTCTCCAAGTTCTGTACTCATAGGTCTGACCACATTTTATTGCCATTATCTATTATATGTCCCTTTCTCCCTCCTGCTTCCGTGTTCCTAAAGACGGAAAACATTGCTATATGCCATTGTGCCAACAGACCCAGCACAGCTATGCCCACTGACTCCTAAGTTAGAAAGAATGCACCTATCAAATATCAGTAGTGGCTGATCTGTGCATTACATCGAAGCATAAAGTAACATCCCTGGATATTTCCTATTGACCTCAAAAATATGTTTAAAGTAGTTTCATTTCAAAACACATAATAATTGGTACCAGAGAAAGTAGAAGTAATTATATCCTGCTTCTTACCCCACTTTGCTTTGTTAAAACCTAACAAACATTCTGTTGAAGAAGAGATAAACATTCTGTTGAAGAAAAGATGTGTTTGTGTTTTTTTTAGAAAATCAGTTTCAGTAGAGCTTTTATTAGGTGATAGGAAATATAAAAAGTTTTGAGAATACAATGGGTAAAATATGGTGTGTATTTATACTAAGAGAGTTCATATTGGATAAGCAATATATCCAATAAATAAATAATTACACATAAATAACTATTTGTAATTGTACATAAATAATTACAATGCCACATTATGATAACAAAACTGATAGGAGATATCTATAAGATAAAAAGGAAGAAGAGATCAGTTATCCTTGCTCTAGGTCAGGGAAGGTTTCACAAAAGATGATTCTGAAACTCTCTGATATCTCACTTTTTACTAATGTTATAAATGAAGATCAGGAGACAGACCAGAGAGGTAATAGGGCAATCCATAAAATACAGTCTTTTTAGGAAAGACATTAGAAAGACATCAAACTAGTTGAATAAAGCC